ATATTCTCATCGAATTCTCTCCAAACGCAAAACTCTTTACAAATAATAACTCGTACCAAAAGAACGAAAAATTACAAACAAAAAGTCCTAATATTTGAAAAGGTATGTGCTAATAGCCACATCATAACTCTGAAAGAATTCAGTATGGACCTTTTCCAACTTTAATTACTGTACTTAGATTAAAAAAATCATTAGCGCTAATTATATTATACACTTCCTTGAAACATGAGCTATAAGGAACAATTCTAGATCCATAACTTTCTGTATAGACCACACGTCACGCATAAATGATAAAAATTCAAGTTGCAAATTATAAATCGTTCACAGTTGTTACATTGTTATTCCGTGCATTGATTTTTCAGATATACACCAGAACAAAGCGACACATAATTAAAGTACCGTTTAAACATTACATAAATAATATATCCATTGAATTTATCGATTTTCATTCTATTACTATAAAGTACGTCTGCTGTATCTCTTATCACATGAAGCTGAAGTCCACATTGTTTTAAAAACTAAAAATAAAAAAGAATTTTGTTCATTCATCTTGAATTTTTATGTGCACTAATTTTTGAGAAATTCACTTTTTTTAAAGGACAAAATAAAGCACAACATTTAGAATATTTTAACTTCAAATTTTAATTCTCACTGCGATGCATATATATATACCAACAAAGAATTATAATTTGAAGCTAAAATAATAAATGCTGCAACTACCAACAAAGAGTTAAAATATAATAAATGCTGCAGCTACCAACAAAGAATTAAAATTTGATGTTAAAATAATAAAAGTTGTGTCATTATTATTTTCTCGTTTTCGTTTTTAAAAACTTTGCGGACTTCAGCCTCATTCTTATCGTCGTAGAATAAGACATAGATCAAGTGCGTTAGAGAAAAAAATATCAGATAAAATGAATTTATACAAAATAAGAAAAATTCCGTTTTTTATACAAATATATATATAAGTATAATATTCAGTTTTTCTGCAGATATCAAATTGAGACAAAAAACGAATCAAAAAGTGTTGCGAAGCAACGTTTTGATTCATTTTTTGGCTCAATTTGATATCTGCAGAAAAATTGTGTTTATATTGGTATACAGAAAAAAACAGAATTTGAAACCAAAACAATTGAAAAGTATAATATATTTTATAAAACTCGAAACTAGATTTTAGTCTTGAATTTTAATCAAAGATCATCAAGGCTAAAGTTTTAAAATGATAACAGATTAAACACCTGTTTTAGTCAAAAATGGGTTGAATAAATCAAGATTTATTTTTTACAGTGCAAGAAGCAAAAAGTTAATTTTTGAAATAGAAATATACCCAAAGAGGATCAACTGCGATATGGTTTAATACCGCATATTTGCATATTAATTTTCCGAATATTATAATAGAAATTTTCTTTTAAGAAACTGACGCATCAGAAAAGATTCTACATATATATGAAAATAAAAGTCTGAATATAGACTTATACCCTTCAAGATATAGATATGTGAAAAAAAGTTTTGCAGAAAATATCCTAAGAGCGTATACGTGGCCCAACCAAAAGACTCCGCATGTACCTAAGCACAAGTTATAGTTTATCTAAGTATAACTGCATCGAAAGAATCTGAAAATCTATATCATGCTGCATATCATTAAAGCAGGTTGCCAGCGAGGTCACAATAGTTTTGTCATCAACGACCTCTTTTCGAAATACAAGAATTACTTTTTCTCTCTTAAGAATAATGCAACAATTTCTATACGTTGCATATGGAGAAGCTATAATAATAATTATTATATATTTATCAAATAATAAACTACCTCGTTTAGCCGCAAAGAGGACTCATTTTCAATATAATATAATTTCTATATACCTATACTTTTAACAACACTTTCAATAAGATTTTCAACAAGTCTTTCCTTAAAATAAAGACCAATTGAAAAGTATATAATATAACAATAAAATATATACCTATAGGTATACGTACGTTTATAGAGACTAGTTAATTGCAGGAAAAATGTAGCGTTGCAAAATAACTATTTGATAAAAAAATGACTGTGAACGATAAGTACAACTTCAGATAAGAAGAACAATTTGAACATTAGTGAAGTGCTTTTGTAAGTTAGAGACTAACCTTCGTTAATTTACTAATAAGATGGCCTTCAAGCATCTAAGTTGTTAGGCAGTCAACAATTTTTTTCAGTGAAGTAAACATTTTTCTAGAGCACCTAATGATATAATAATTATATTATTCAGAAAAGTAAATTCATTATTCTAATATAAAATAAGAAAATTCCCTGCTCTAAATATATAAAATTGAAAAAACATATCACTATATAATATACAAGAGCAGGAGGATGCGACTACAAAAAAAGGAGGAAATTATTCAAAGATGTTTTATTCCTCTCCACGACATATTAAAGAATATAATGAATAAGTGAATCATAAACATTTGCACACAAATGTGTATCAAAGAGTTCACGAAAATATTGATGATATTCTGTTGTGATAAAGATAACACCTTTGTATCTTTATCTTTGAGATGTATAAGCAATCTTTATGAGGCTCTAAACATTAAAAATTTTTATTGTTTCCTTCTCCGAAGAATTATGCAGTACTCCGCGCGGTGTGTATGGGAAGAAGATTTGGAATTGATAGCAATAATACGAAGAAATCAGAGTAAATTATAACCGATTTTTTTTCTTAAAAATTGAGATTATTTATATATCATATTGGAAAAGTTGATTCGCACTCGATTTATTTTGTGCGCCCTGGAAATGTAGTTCTATTTTATAATTATAAGAAATGCTCCTTTTGCAGGTATGTTATTTTGTACGTTTTTTGTGTATCATATACTTTTAAGGATATCATAAATTGAGACAAAAGAAGGATCAAAATGGTTGCATCGCAACAATTTCTCTACGTCTTTTGTCTCAATTTATATGATATCGTTAGAAAGTGTTATAGCAAAGTTGTTCCGAAGCAACATTTTTTGTTTTTTTGTACTGAAAAAAGCGTACGTGCTCCTGCTTTTTCTAAAAAAGAGATCTTTGCGTTTATGCCACGCCCTAATTCTGGTTCCTAACCAAAGTAACCTTACATCCACCCTCTAGACGCCAATTCTCCCTTCTAAGGGAAAACTTCCCCCACTTTTATCACAAAGGTGCAAGTATTCACCAACCAATGAACTTTTGAAATCTCACCCTCTCGAATCAACCTCCTTTTTACTCACTTTTGGAAAAAAATGTCTGAATACATACAATTTTTTCATACTATATTAATTTTTAATAAAATTAATTTTTTCACATATAAATAATTTTCTATTAATAGAAATGAAGCCAAAGGAAATGGAGTAAAAGAAAAGTAAAGCACAGGAAAAACAAATTCTAAAATTGTTTGCCTTAAAACCAAAATTATTGAGTATTTTTAAATATAAAGTGTGGGTTAAGTCAATAGGACTTGAAATCATATTCTCAAGGTTGAAATTCAGTATATTAAAGAAAGATTCTAATGTAGGTTAAAAATCGAATGTATATAGTTAAAGATGGATTGAAAGTATAAGATTAATATATTTATACCTGAAAATGTTCATTCAAAATGAAAAAGTATACAGTTTTTAATTTAATATTAGAATTTTCTAAACATAAATTTGCAGTCATCATTGTTGTCTCAGTTGAAATATTAGTTTTTGGTTTATGGTACGGCAATTGCTCTCAGACTTAAAAGTTATCTTAATTAAGAGCAAATAATTTAAAACTGATTCCAAGAATATAACATTTTGGTCCAGATTGTTATTCTTGTACCTGCAATCTTTTTTTCTTTTAAAAAATTTAGAAATGCATGAAAGCTATAATCATATGCAGTTAGAAAAAGGTCAATGCTCTTGTCGCAATATAATCAAAATATGTTATATATACCCAACGGACATCACTTTTGCAACACATCTTTAAGAAACATCTATAATCGATTTGTATTAATTACACCTATTTGTGAACAGAACAGAATATGCTTTGATGGATGGAACTAAAAAATAGAAGACCAATTTTAAACACTATATAATAAATGATTGCTTTATGAAACTTATCGGATTTATCCAAATTGATCTAGATCCGAAAAAAGAAAAAGATAATTTTCTTTATAAAGAAATTATTTCTTCTTAATTTAAAAAACACTTTTCTAAATTCTTAATATTATCTATATGGATGAAATAAGAAGGAAGATTTTGAGTGTCGAAATATATACTTAAATGTTTGCGTGTTATTGAAAACTTTCAAAATAATTAATCTTTGCGGTTAAAGTATATAGAAGATTGTATTATTTGATCTTGTTGATATATCATTAAGATTTTGGAACTCTCATTGTTTAGGCAGAGTACAGATGTCGATTCAATGACACAAGTATACAAAGATGCGAGACTTTTGAAGAATATAATTTCGAAATATGAAATTGAGATTATAAAAGTTTTGTTTTCGAAAGGAGGAGAATGACATTCGCTCTCTTTCGAAGAGAAAAGATGAGAACTTTACACGTTATTCTTGAAGATTCGTTCCGCCTGAAGCGATTCGAAAAACATCTCGAGACAAGAAAGATCATTGTTTTGATTACAAGAGGAGACACATACTATTGATAAAATTCTCAAAGCGGAACGAAAAAGTCATTCAAAATATTTTCGTCTAAAGGCACACACACGTCGTTTTCATTAATCTTAAAAAAAATTGAAAGAAGAGACAAAAATAATATAAAGTTTCTCTATTTTGCTTATTGTTGCATGTTTGATAATGGACCTCATTAACGGATGTAAGTCGCAGTTTATCACACGGTTCATAAGAAACCGCAATGTAAAATTTCATCAGAGAGGGAATCCCTAAAGTCTGAGATAATCCGTCGGAAGAAATCCGATAAGATCACCTTATCAGCACTCTGCGGAGGAATTGTTTGCAAAATGCGAGGCAAAATGTCATTCATCGTGATTATACTGAAAGCAAAAAAAAAAAAAAAAGAAGAAACACAAACCTTTCGCAGATGCTGTCTCTGTCCTATTGACCGTATCGTCCATGAAGCCTGCGTGCGGTTGTACTTGATTAAAATCCCAGAAACGCTGATTACACACACTCTTCACCAGTCTTGAAAAATACGCATTGCATATTAACAAGCAACAAGCGTGAGATGAATCAACCGTCTAATCGTGAGCGTACACTTAATTTTTGGTCACGTAATGTTTCTCAGCAGAATCCGTCGGAAAACCGGTTCAGCGAAATTTTACCCCTTGCTCAGCGATGAGTCTCTCATCCCTTTTTGTTTTAATCCAATAATTGTTAACACATCACAACACCACATAAGTAATCACTCTTGGAGTATCTCTCACCTTCCTAATCTTTGTACGTTTAAAATTTGAATAGGAGAGAAAAAAGGCACACCTCTGGGCATACGGAGTTCCTGCACACAAATGACTCCCAATGCTTCTGACAATTTCTCTTTAACCTGCGCGTCGAGTCTCATCATCTCTCCCACCTAGTCTCTCTTTGCTCCTCTCCGATCCTCCCCACTACCTTTTGTCCGGCTGCTCCTGCCGCCTGCTGTTCATATATAGTTTGTAGAGCTCCACGGAGGAAACCTGGTGCACCTTCCCCTATCTGGCGCTTTGCTGTCTGCCTCCCCCACCCGCATCATATACACTTGGTTACTGAGTGTCTAGACTTTTACAGCAACAAAAACCCTCTTATTTTGCTAGAATTCGCCACAGCACTGGCTGCTGAATTCCAATTCAACAAGATTTTCGCATTTTTTTCGCACTTGTTCACTCGTTTCATTCATTGATATTCATTCAATCATTATTCTTAATACTAGATACTATAGAATGTCAGTGCGATGTTCTGACTATTAGAGAGGCGGATTTTTCATCCCCACTTCCTTGTGGAAGATCACACCCCCAAGCTATCGTGGACAACTATTTCTCGCTGTATTCACACTTTTCTTTTCATTACAGACTTTATACATTTATTTATTTAAGTAGTAAACGGGACTATGCCCTTTCGTACAAAGTATTCATAATACTAATTTTATTGCACTAAGCAAAATTACTAAAAATAACTTATAATTTCAATGATCAATATTTAATAGCTAGATTATAGTTGTTTTTATCCAAAAGTATATTAATTTTTCAGAAAAAAAATGTCCAGATGGAGCGAGGCTTGTCAAAAGTCCACGATATGGGAGGGGGGGGGGGTAAAAAGTAATCAAAAATTGTCCACGTGGTTAATAATTAAAAGAACCTTTTATTGGACTATTGACAAACCTCGTAATAATAGTTATATAGTTATCATTACTAATAGTTAAATAGTTCACGATTTGGGAAGAAGGGAGAGGGGGTTAAAAAGTGAGAAAAAATTGTCCACGTGGTAAATAGTTAACAGGGTTGCCACAGGTCAGGGAAAAGTCAGGAATTATTTATTAAAGTACTGGAAAAAATTGAATTTTTGAGAAGTTACAAATGATTGCAGAAATTCATTTATTATTGCTTCCTCATAGAGGAAGGATTGTATATTAGCAAAATTTTCGATTGTGATTTTTTGACATATTTCTAAATTTATTTTCATTATACCTAATCTTTTAGTACTTTATGTACGAATGGACACTGCCTGTATAAATGTTATAAATAAATAAAGATTTCGATGTAATTTTACCTCAGAAGTCCAAAAAACGTATTTTTAAAAAATGGCCGGATGTGTGCGTGTACTAACATTACATTTGCCTCAATATCTTAGAACGAGAAAGAGCTAAAGGCCTCAATTTTTTTTTAAATTGTAGGTCTCCCCGGGGGACATAAAATGAGAGTATTTTCAGCCCGATTCATAAAGATTAACTATATTTTTTTTGTATTTTTCATTTTGTAAAAAACCGTTTTTTGGCCATAACTTAAAAAAAAGGTTATAGGACACCTATAAATGTTTTTCTTTAGTTTTGTAGAGTTTTTTCAGACGCATCTTTTGAGCCTTCATTGAATATTTTTCGTCCATATTAACCAGAGATATTAAAGTTTTAAAAATCTAAATTTTTCGAAAATAATACTTATTTGAAAATTTTGTTGAAAAATGTAAAAGTAACTCTAAAAGTATCATTACCAACTGGATAGAGCATTAAAAAACGCTTCAATTGACCTATTTTTGAACCTGATTCGGTCAGAAATTATGAAATTATTGGTATATTTGAATAATAAAAAATTGTGGAAAATATCATTTTTTCAACATTCTTGTTTATTAACTTATATGTAATTTATTATTGAACTATTATAACCATCTTATAGAATATATGAAAACACATTTTTGGACCAAGATTTAATGATTTTTAACCCTTTTATAAAAAGTAATTCTTATATTTCAATTATTATTATTTATCTATGAGGAAGCAAAGTGTTCATGAAATGAACACCAAATTTATAAAAATGTACAACTTGGCAGCGGTTTTTTTAAAATCTCGTCAAAATTTCTATTATCTTTAAAAATAATAAAATTCTTCTCCAAACTTCAATTATTATCTTTAAAAATTTTCCTACAAAAGTTTTTTATAAATTTCTTCACAATATTTAATTATTTTCATAAATAATAACATTTTTTACACACATTCAATTATTTTCATGAATAATAAAACTCATCATTGAATTGCAATTATTTGTAATACAATTTTAATATAGAATTCCTCGAAAAATGTAATTATTCTTGAAAATTTTATATTAAAATTCGTCGTAAAAATTCAATTATGTTGATAACACTTTTTACGAGAATTCAATTTTGAAAAACATTTATTAATTGAATAAATTATTTATTTTTATATTTAAATATACAATTGAATTCTCGTAGATTTTTCTAATAAATATTGATTGAAAAATGAATTTCAGTTAAAATTTTAGATAATAATTGAATTAAATTAAATTAAATTTTGAAAAGGTTTCAAATTAAAATATTTGAAAATTTGAATTTTTCAGACTTTTGAAACTGACAATTCTGTAGAATTATTAATTTTTTTTCAAAAAATTTAATTGAATTTTTTTAAAAATTATTTTAAGTTTTTATTTTTCAAATATTTAATTGAAGAATTTCCGAATAATAACAATAAATTTCGTAAAATTGAATTGTAAACAAATGGATTAAAAAATTTTCTAGGAACTTTTGCAAAAATTATTAAATATAATTGACATTTGAATTCTTTCGAAAATAATTAATTAATTAAATAATTGAATTCACGTGGAAAAGTATATTACTTGTAAAAATAATTCAATTATCTTATGCGAAGGATTTTGTTACATTTTTTTTTAAATAATTAAATTATTTTGAGAAATTTTATTAAACTATGTAGATTTTGATAATTTTTGAATGTCAGCAAAGAATTTCATTATTTGTGAAATGTAATTGAATTCTTGCAAAAAATTTTAAAAAATAATTACATTTTTCGAGGAATTTAAAATTTAAAAAAAAAAATTTTTTTTTTTAATTTAAAATTGTATTGAAAATAATGAAATCCTTTGAAAAAGTTTGTTATTTATGAAAATAATTGAATTCTTACAACGAATTTTATTACATTTTTTAAAATAATTGAATTCATGTGAAAAATTTTATTACTTTTGTAAAAATAATTGAATTCCTGCGAAGGATTTTATTAAAATTTTTATAAATAATTAAATTTTTTTTTTGAAAAAAGATCGATATCTACATATGTTATAATAATATTCTTATAAGTTGTTGAATTTCATAAAATTTATTTTTAAATCAATAAAGAATTTATTGATGTTTGCGAATAATTTTACAATTAAAAACATTCGTAAATATAAGAGTAATAGAACTTTTTTTTTGAGCATGTAAAAGTTTATAATATAGTAAATTAGAATATTCTTTAGGGTCGCGCAGGGAAAAAGTCATAATTTGTCTGGAAATCAGGAAAAAGTAAGGGAAAAACAAAATTAATTTTTTTTGGCAACATTGGTTAATAGTCCAGATTTGGGAAGGGAGGAGGGGGGAGGTTAAAAAGTGGTAAAAAAATTGTCCACGTGGTTAGTATAAATTTAATAATCCCACACAACTTGAGTGTGAATTTTTACCAAATTTTCTTCAAATTATTCGAAAATTACTGGAATTTAAATACATAAACAGTTTGTGCTCTCACTGTGAATGTTTGAGCAACAAAAAATGACTTGATATATAAACTTATGAACAATTACGTGACTGCAACTGTGGACGATGTGATTTATTAAACACTATATACAGTAAAGAGTGTGAGATGCACGGAATGAAAGAGTGTTTATGTTAATTTAAGAGGACATCTAGAATGGTTATACTTTATACCTGAATTGAACCCAGGAGTTTTTATATTATATGAATTTTAATTGCTGCACTGGACCCGAGGATGCCGTTCGAAATGGACCATTCATATTCTTTGTGCCTAAATGTATATAAGAAGATATGGTCAGATGCCCGAAAAAATCAAAGGGATGCGAATGTGACTCTTTGTCCTTATCCCCAACTTTTGGACAAACGTGTTGACCGTCATTAGAAATTAAAAAAAAATTACTTGAAAGGAATAATAGTTGACTTAACCGTTAGAGTTAAATGTTTCCTTCTACCTGCGGACAAATCGATTAACTCCAGATGCTTGCGTCGAGAATGGATCAATATTAACTTTCGGAAGGTGGGGCATACAATTGGCACAAATCACTTTAACCTTTCTTCTCCTTTTTTTTATCTTCCTGCTTTTCTATCTTCTATCACTTTCAATCGTATTTTCTGTATAAATCTATAAAAATACAAATTTTTTCTAAGGATATCAAATTGAGACAAAAAATTATTAACAAATCCAAATTGTTGCTTCGCAAGAATTTTGATTCGTTTTTTTGTCTCAATTTGATATCCTCAGAAAAAATGTTATACGAAATCTGAGAGGAAGGAATAAGTAATATACAAGAAGAAGAGAGGAGAAGTAATTACAGACATGTTATTTAAAATAATTTAAGATGCAGATAATAATCAACTTGAAATAACAATTCCAAAGAAAGGATGAGATATACATAAAGGAGAGAGAAAAAAAATTCTGAGAATTGTATAGTCTGCAGAGCAAATCAAAGTGGAAAAGATTCCCTTTATCAGACTATATGGCAAGTTTAGAGTAAACCGAACCGGATGGACCAATGATGACATCATTCTCTGATCAAACATGGGCGAGGACTCAGGAGCAAACAAGTATACGATCTAATCGCGTTTCGCTTATCAGTTTTAGTTACATATTCTGTCACTGAATATATCTTCGAAATATTGACACTGCAGCTTCACTAAAAGCTAAAATATACAAAAGAGATTTTCCTCAATTTTTCTTACATATAATGTTTTGTCTTCACTTTTCTTTTTAAAAATTGAGAGCGTATCTCGTTATCTCGCAGTAAAAGTTTACTATTCCCTTTTCCAAAAAGTTTATTTTTTTATGTGTAGAGAATTAAGAATATTTTTAATTTTTCAAAGAACATTTGTTCTGTAA